TTTATAACCACTTCCCCTAATGTAGGCTCAAAACCGAAGGCGCATCAAAAACAACAACTTAACGTTACCAGCCTTAAACTGAATTTACGATAGAGAAAACTATAACATCGTATTGTCGCTAGCGACAGAGACAGCGAGGCCGCATCTCTTACTTCCATACTTTAAGACAGATGTAGGCATGACTTCAACTAAATGGCTAATGTGAGTGTGATTCCATTTATTAGATACCCCTGCAGGAATTTTAAAAATGTGGATCCAAGCAAGAAATGTTCTACTCGAAAATTGTACCGTTTTAATTGATAAATATCGCGAGCATAATCATACAATTAAATAAATACATACATTTCTTTTTCATGGCACACTGCTTACTAAAGAATTTAGAAACACCAAAAGAAAATCCAGAGTCGTTCTATGCAAAAAATACAAAATATTTATTTTTTTTTTTATTTAGCACGCCTCAGCTATAGACTGGGTAGCTGGTATGCTGCGGAAACGGATGTGTCATGTGGGATGTACATACAAACGTGTATATAAATAAAAACATATACATACGCGCCTACATATGTTTGTATAATATATATGTACCTATATTCATATATGTTTGAACATTTTTGTGTTCCTGGAGCGTCTCGTGCCTGTTGCATATGGGTGGCAAGCTGGTGCAACAGGCTGGATAAAGAATAGCGAGTCAATGTTTGCTGCGACGCCGAAGTCAGCGTTTGTGTTTCTAGATAACTCAATGCATACATAAATCTTCTTATGTATTTACATTCAGATTTATATTTCATGTCTATTTTATTTTAACTTCATCCAAACACACCCATTTTGTACAATAGGATATTTCTGCTACTGCTGCCGCAGGTTCTGCTCTATAATAGCAACTCCAACTCCGTCTTTACTGTTGCCGTTGTGTCTGCCTGTTGCGTCGTGCCTACAGTTTGTCGCTAATATAGATACTAGCACACATACACGCAGATATATATATATTTATATATATATATATATATATATTATATTCAGATATATATATATTATATTCAACATGGGAAACGAACGACGCAGGAGCCGGCGATGAGTCTGCGTATCTAAAGTTGCAAAATACAAGGCTCAGTCGTTTAACTGCCGCTTCCCAAGGCAGTTTAGCGCGCTCCCAACGAATTACAAAAGACAACTTAGGTAAAGCTAAGTTACACAACTATCAAAATATGTGTGTGCACAACACTTGTTAGATTAAATTTCTATGTGCAATGCAACTTATAAGTTACATTCGCCGTTCTGATTTTTTTTGCTGTGAAGTGATTGATATATTAATAAATACAAAAACAGGTATCAGATTTCAATACAATGCTCAATGTGTGGGGCTCTGAACCCCCAGGTAAATATAAAATTTATTATAAGTACACTAGCAGCTTTTTTCCGGGTTTGCTGGAACAAGTGTGTTTCTTTAAATGCACAAAGGCTGTCACACATTTGCAAATATTTTGTTTGTAAATGAGTTTCCACATGATCGGAAAAGATTTTAACTTTCAACTAAATATATAGGGGTATAAGATGGTAATAGTTTTGTGCAAATGTGCGCAAGAGACACACATACTTTATGTAAGCCCCTACGGCTGTTTTAGTCACGTGTCTACCAAAATAAAATCTTTGGTTAGAGAATTCATAATTTCAATATATATATTGTTTAACGAAACACTAAACACCCGCCCAAATCGATAAGCTTGAAAAATATACGAATAAGACATAACGAATGAGGTTTACAATTTCGTATATTATTCGCATAATTTGTATATACACATCATCTGGATGTCACTTTTAAGCATCAAAAATTTCACAAAGATCGAACTAAGAACACCCAAGTTATACAAGAATATGGAACCAACAGAGGAATTAATTGAAAAAATCTGTTCCGTAAGGGGTCAATTATTAATATTTTTTATATCTTTTGAGTCTAAATATTATTATAGTTAACGAGCCTAATATCAAAAGATAAGGCTTTTAAATTTGTTGTACAACTTGAACCAAATATTGTGTTGTCGGTGATTGTACACAACTGCGATATTCCTGCAGGTTTGCTGTTTAAACAACAATTAATAAGAAACCATTTTTACGGAATTAACAACTAACGCCTTGCCAAGTTCGCATCTCTCTGCTTAACTTCGCACATTGAGCGCATTCTTGCATAACTTTGACTTGGACGCATGCACCTTCTTTGCCACATTTGCAAGTGGCTATGTAACATTTCTGTTTACCAAATTTTCGGCGCCGGCACAAAAAGTGTTATCCCAGCATTGATTAAACGTGCGTTTATGTTCTTTTTGCATCGAGGCCTTTACAACTACCATAGCAAAAGAAGACAAGTAAGAGTGATTTAGTCTAGCCTGGCCTGGGAATACCTTAACCTTCGCCAGGCGACAGCTATGAACTAAAAGATAATTAATTTATTAATACTATTCTTTAAGTTACATGTCAAACTAGGCGACTCTTGATTTTAAAATCTAAAAGACTTTGATATAGATTTTTTCGATTGGAAACTCTTACTGCGCGGGAACTACCTTAATTTGCACGAAAACATTGTACACTTTTTACCCATTCCTAATGAGTTGGAATAAAATGATTAATTTTGAGCCTGTTGGAGTTAAATAGATAAATATAAGATGATATCAAGTGCCTTAAAACATACTTTTTTTTTTAATATTTATAGCAAATGTATTTAATAGGCATTTGCAAAGCGATAAGTCGATCTAGCCATGCTCGTCTGTCTGTCTGACTGTACTTCAGTGTGACCGTATTTTACCACGAACTATAGACATGAAATTTTAAAAATGTTTTTTGTACATGTTTACCCCGTTTATGACCGCAGGGTGAATGCGAATTAATATATTTCACGCCTTATATTATTTTTGGGCAAGTATTAGCTGTCTTCACTCCAGCATACATATATGTACACACATGTTTATAATTATACCTCTGTTCTCGGTCAAAATCAGCTAGGCCACTTTATGGGTACATATATATACATATATGGTTGTATACTTAATAGCATCAGCAACACGTTGTTGCTTTTTGACATATGTACATATATAGTTGATATAACTGTTGTAACATCAAGCCACACAATTCTGGTTTCATAACATTCCATTTTTTTCTCTGCCATGGAAGAGGCAAAACGTTGCAAAGGTAAAACAAAGCGGACCAAAGCAAAAATACAAAACACAATTCTGTGCAAATGTTTCACAATGAATTTTAAATTGCATGTTCTATAGATGTGGACGTCGGCCGTCGCTTATGCTTTACCCTGTGGAGATGGCTTCCACGGCCACTATGTTGCTGCTATTAGCAATCCGTGCCCAAATCGATTGGCAACAATTCTAAAAGCATTTTATGCAGCAATCACAATTTCCTTTTAACGCCGCGACGCGACATAGACTCAAACGTACATAAATACACACTCAAACGTACATATATACACACACACATATACACAGTAAATTACGTACGTACGTAGACCGATATATATATATATATATATATATATATATATATATACATACATATATATAAATATATATATGTGTGCGTGTGTGTGTGTGTGTGTATGTGTGTGTGTGTGTGTGCGCGTGTGTGTGTGTGTGTGTGTGGGTGTGTGTATGTGTCTATGTGTCTATGTGTCTGCAGTATCACCGCGTCCAGCAGAAAAGCGAAAATGGCCAACTGGCGGGCAAGTGCCAAAGGCTGCAGTTTGCGTACTGCCTTTCCTGCCAGCCATTTGTCCAATATGGCAACGATCATTCCCACCATATGACACAGAGACCTGACCTCCTGCTGCCAGCAGCAACCGTTACTGCTCCCTAGAACACTTCTTGCTTCTCGCTGAGTTCAATGCAATTACACCACAGCCACGCAAGCTGCGTTCATGGGTTTGCCTTTACTTCGCCGATGATTTAACATTCTTTTTGACTCCCAAGTTTTGCTTCAAATTATTTGTGTATCAATATTGTGTAATACATTGTGTAAATACATTTATATGTATATACATACCGAAAGAAACTTATCTCTACATATAGATAACCAGTCGCGGCGCCTTTTTTCGTGAAACATCAATAAGTAGTGTGTCAAGAGCATTCACCTAGTACATACCATGCTCTAATAATCTAAGCTTTATTGCGTGGATTTTTTTTTCTTTCAATACATACATACAAAACTTAGTTATATCTTTTTATACCCTGAACCCGTTAAAAATGGGTATAAGGGTATATTGTATTTGTACAAAATGCAAATGTATGTAAGAGGCAGAACGAAGCATCTCCGACCCCATAAAGTATATATATTCTTGATCAGCACCAATAGCCGAATCGATCTAGCCATGTCCGTCTGTCTGTCTGTCCGTCTGTCCGTATGTATGAACGCAAGGATCTCAGAACCTATAAGAGCTAGAGACTTGATTTTTGAATTTAGATGTAGGTGCTCCTAGTGCCTGCGCAGATCGAGTTTGTTTCCGATAACTTACTCCGTTTTCAATCAATCGATGATAATCGATATCGATAACCTGTTTTTGGGCAATTTTGGTAAATATTAAGAGCTAGAGTCACCAAATATATATATATGTGCATTTGATGTTGGAAGAAAGGGGTTTAGGGCATCCCCTAGTCGGGACTCCCGACTCGAACCTCTTACTTGTTTTATTTTCTATTTGTTATTACTAAAGCAAAAGAGCACGTACTACGAGCTGAATTTGGTGTTGGAATAAGAAGGTTCAGGGTATCCCCTAGTCGGGAGCTCCAGTATGGAAATATAGGATATCATAAAAAAAAAAAAAAACATTTTAAGTAAATGACCACACAATAGTTGCAGTCCACCCCAACTACAAAAAGAAATTTTATTTTTTGTCGTCATTTAAAATAATTCTGAAGTCTGGAGGAAAAAAATGCACACGTTACGGAGAAGTCTAGCTCTCGCTTTTGGCGTTGTTTTGGTCTTGTCAATTTCTTATTTTCTATCCGTGCCCTTTGTTAATCATCATTATTATTGAGCCTAATATTTTAATAGGATACAAATGTTTTGCTCATGTCTGTGTATGTATTTTGGGAAAACATAACGTTCTTCTATCATATCTAGTCAATTATGCGCTTAGCGCATCATCCCTACACGTTGTACTTACGTACCGGACGTCCTCCATGAGTGGGTTTTAAGCAAAAACTAATTAAAAGTTTTAAGACATTTTTTGCCCATTTTTATTTCGTTTCGCTTAGGTAGTACCAGCTGCCGTAAGATGCGTACAGAGAGACACAACCAGCAGAGAAGTAAATAAAAATAAATATAAAAAAAATAGCAACGCACAAGGAACACCATGGCGTATTGTTTATTATTTACCGTTTCATTCTGACACCAACTGAATGCAGTGGCTATATGAATGATGCCGACTTCGCGGCAGCAGTTGATAAAGATACGTTTTATTTTTGCCAGCAGAGCCGCCTCCGACTCAGGCCCTAGCTCCGACAAAACTTGTTCTTTTTTGCTGTAGTGCATTGAGTTACTTGGACGTGCAATCGACTTAAAGTAGAGAAAAGGTATATACACTTTCTGAGAGTAAAACAAATAAAATTACTTGGAAGGGTTCAAGTTATTCTTGCTATGGAGCCACGTCCCTACTGAAAATTATTTTTAAAATCCACTTGGAACTCCGATCTTGAACCGAACTGATTCGATTTGCAGTCTCGAAATTACACCACAAATTCTACTTGTTACAATCCAGTTATTAATTTAAAAGAAATACGTTTTTCAATCATTTTATTTTTCTTGTTTAATTGCTTCTTATATTTGAATTGTGTTTTGTTTAGGGCATGAAAGATTCGATGCAGCGACTACAAATTTCCACAACTTTTTCCAGTGTTCGTTTTACTAACTTTAGCCATCAGGCAGAAGAGTCGACTATGACGCAGGTGGTAAATGAAATTGAAAATCTAGCTTTACTTGCTTCTCTTTTTATGTCCCATCGACACTGTGCTTAATTTGGTTCATCGTTCAAATGCAGCACACATTTTGATTGCGTTTCTCGTAAGTGTAAATAACCAAATTGTACGTTTGGGGGAAAATTACCGTAATGTGTAACGCGATTAGATATTACATTGGTTATTCAACTTATTTATTACACTATGGACAGAGTATAACGTATGATGCGAGTTGCGCCCGATTTTTTACCATATCACAGTAAACAAGTAAGAGGTTCTAGTCGAGAGCTCCAGACTAGGGGATACTTTGAACCCTTTTCTTCCAACATAAAATGTATATATATATTCTATTTTAGAAGCTGTAGGTCAAGTTTGGTGACTCTAGCTCTTATTATTTACCAAAATTTCCCAAAAAACAGGATATCGATATCGATTGCTTGGAAACGGAGTACGTTATCGATTATCGGAAACACACTCGATCTGCGCAGGCACTAGGAGCACATACATCTAAAATGTCAAGTCTCTCGCTCTTATAGGTTCTGAGATCCTTGCGTTCATACATACGGACAGACGGACAGACGGACATGGCTAGATCGACTCAGCTATTGATGCTGATCAAGAATATATATACTTTATGGGGTCGAAAATGCTTCCTTCTGCCTGTTACATACATTTGGATTTTGCACAAATACAATATACTCTTATACCCATTTTTAATGGGTTCAGGGTATAAAAATATTGATATCTGTTTATTCTGTTATTATCTGTTATTCGCGTTAAACTGCTTGAAAATTGCTGGACATTTTTTTTTAACTAAGTACAAAATTTAGTGTTTATTTACAGATAAGGAAAATACGTTCCCACACTTTCGAAGCTTAAAGATAGATTTAACGAACGCCACCACAAAAATGAGCAAACGGAATTAAAACGCTTGACCTCCCCAGATCAACCGAGCTAACTTTGTCCGGAGCGCTTTGCTAATAAACGTGACAGATTTCTCGGCTACTCAAATGTCTGTCACACGCACACATACACACACACAGCGCCGCAACGACCACAACAGACAGTCGAACAAGCAGTCAAGGACTCAGCAAAAGTATCCTCTTCCAAAGTATAAGACAAGCCAACTGTGTCGTGTGGCATGGCAGGCTGAAAGCCAAGAAAAACCTTAAAATCTACATAAATCATGCTGGGCAAGTTTTCGAATAGCTAACACAAAATTCAATTTATAAGCACGTACACTTTGCATACAATCGTATATATCTTGTTTGTAGAAGAAAAATAATTTAATTGAATTCTAATTTCTGCTTAAAGTTCAAGTCCAATAAATGCTTTCAAGTTTTCTTGGTTACCCTTTAAAATACTGTTTCAGCACTGTGAGATTATGCGTTAGTGACAAGTTGAATAATTTTGATTATATACAATATAAGTATCTTGACGGAAGTGCCGGATTAGGACTCTGCAGCCGATGAAACCCTAAGACACACAAAATATTGGTATTACTATATCGACTTTTATCATTATTTTGGCAATGATAATAGATATAAAC